GGGGGACATGGGGGGGATGGGGGACATGGGGGGGATGGGGGACATGGGGGGGATGGGGGACATGGGGGGGATGGGGGACATGGGGGGGATGGGGGACATGGGGGGGATGGGGGACATGGGGGGGATGGGGGACATGGGGGGATGGGGGACATGGGGGGGATGGGGGACATGGGGGGGATGGGGGACATGGGGGGGATGGGGGACATGGGGGGGATGGGGGACATGGGGGGGATGGGGGACATGGGGGGGATGGGGGGGCATGAGAGTGAAGAAGTAACGAGGGCTGTAGAGACGGGCGAGCAGCAGGTTGAGTCGCAGCGAGCGCAGGCGGTGAGGCACTGCCTCGAGCTGAGAGAATGAAGTGGGTGGGAGGGGAATAGGGAGGGAGGGCAGGGGAGCGAAGTGAGGGTACAGTGTGGTGCAGAGGGATGTAGAGATTGAGGCAAGTAGGAGATCGAGTCTCAGCGAGCGCAGTCGGTGCGGCACTGCCTCTAGCTGAGAGGGGGAGGGGGGATGGGGTGACACAGGCAGAGCGGTGGTCACATGTGCGTTGCCAAATTGAACTGATTGGCTGACTGATATTATCTAATCAGACGTGATCGACCTGTTGGACTAGATTGACCCTCCACACCGCAGACCTCCACAGCCCACCTGTCACGTGTAGAGAGGGTATTTTCGAGACGGCTCAAAAATACCGTCTCAAAAATACCGTCTCTACACGTTGACGTGATCGACCTGTTGGACTAGATTGACCCTCCACACCGCAGACCTCCACAGCCCACCTGTCTGCTACTGACATCACCGCAGACCTCTGTGAGGGCGGGCTTGACCACATAGCACTCTGCCACTCGCAGGCGCACCTCATTGACCTGGTTGACCTGGTTGACCTCGTTGACCTGGTTGACCTCGTTGACCTGGTTGACCTGGTTGACCCAATTGACTCCCCCACTCACCTCTGTGAGGGCGGGCTTGACTTCCTTCAATGCCACGTAGCACTCCGCCACTCTCAGACGCACCTGGTCGCATGTGTGGTGGGTGGAGGCAGCATGAGGAGCTTGTGCAGCAAATGAGTAGGTGCCAGCACGGGAGTTAGAGGTAGGAGGGAAGGAGGGACGGAAGAGTAGGCGAGTAAGTGAGTGAGCAACTGCGTGAGTGACTGGGTGAGTGAGTGGGTGAGCGAGTGAGTAAGTGAGTGAGAGGAAGGGGTGTGGAAACGGACTGTCACTACTCACCTCAGCCTTCCCCACGTCTGTATCCAGGGCCACCATGCTCGCCCCTCCGCCCCACATGCCCCCACCCACGCCCCCTCCCCCTCCCCCCGCTCCTCCTCCCACACACGCCCCTCCTGAAAACCATAGGCAAACACCCCATAGACATCCCCCCCCCAGCTCCCTGTCTCCCCCCTCCTCCAATCACCCCGATCCCACTTCCCCCTCCTGACTGCCCCACCCCCCCATACCGCCCCACTCCCCCTGAGGCTCCCCCTGCGCTCCCTCCGCCCGCCCCTGCCCCCCCTGCACTGTAGCCGCCTGATTGGGCGGGAGTCCCAAGGCCGGCACTGACTACAGTGCCTGCTACAGTGGCAGGGCTGCCGGGAACAGTCCGACTGCTGCCGGCCGCATGGCCGGCCACCTTGCAGAGCTGCTGTGCCTGACGGTAGAGATTCTGGGAGAAGGGGGGGGGGGGGGAGAAGCGGGGAAAGAGGGGGAGAGGACAGCCGAAAGGGGAGAAGGGAGGGGTCGTCTCAGAAGTTGTCTGGTGGTATAGGTTCTGTGAGGGAGGCGAGGGAAAGGGGAATTTTGAGGCATCCCATATTCTGGAGAGAGGCGAGAGGGGAGGAGAGAGAGAGAGAACAAGAGCAAAGAGAGGGGTGGGAGGAGGGGAAGGGGGAGAAGAGGGGCAGAGCTGATGCGACAGCGTGTTGCAGTGGCGAGGCGCAACCCCCGTCGCACTCTTAGTCTCCGCGCACCCACCAGCGCGCTCTCACTCTCCGCGCACCTACCAGCGCACTCTCACTCCCCGCGCACTCACCAGCGCACCCACCAGCGCACTCTCATCACACTCACACACTCCGCGCGCACCCACCAGCGCGCGGCGGAATTCCTGCCGGCCGAAGAGCGCGTCCGCGTAGAGCACGAGATTCTCCGCCCTCGATATTGCCGGCACGTCGCTGCCGGGGCCGGCTGCAGAGACCAGGAAGCTTCCCTGAAGGAGCGGGGGACGGAGAATACGGAGACAATGCGGTGACGGGGATTGGGGAAAGGATGGATCTGAGATGGTTTCGCATCATATCGAATCGTATCACAATCGTTGTGCGAGAGCATGACAAGACGTGCGTTCTGCGTCGTGGTTTACTGTAGAAAGCGAAACCAAAACGCGCTGCGCCTCGTATCCCAATCTAGAATGCGCTGGTATGCAGAGACAGTCATTCCGACCGCTAGTATGCATTAACGGCCATTTAACCGTCGTTTCTAAAAGCACTGTAGCTGCTAACCGTCGTAGCCACTCACGAGGATCTCAGCAGACTCGTACAGCCGTTGATCGAGTAAATACGCGAGATTCTCCCGCATCGCGTCCATGGCGACACGGGTTTCAACGCGGCTTGAGCTTGCTTCTCTAGATGCTATTTCGCTTAAAAAGAGTATTCGCAAGAGCTTTCGCGATTTGTTACGGCACGTCTAAGACTTGAAATCAAACGCCTAATGCCTGACTGAAGTACTCAGATTTGTTGCTCAAGCCGCGTTGATTCAAAACGAGGCAGTGGCATTCGGGACCCGGGATGGGGTGGAAGTGTGGCTCGTCAGGGAGTCGGCGAGAACTTTGGGGATGTCAGAAACCGAAATCCTAGTTACCGACCCGACGAACGTCGCCACGGGAAACTGGATTCGGCGAGAGTGGTTACCCCACGAAACCTGTACAGCCTTCTTGTACGCGCAGATGAGCCAATCGTTTGGAATATCAACCTTCAGTTCACCAACTAACCAAATTCCTCATACGAACTACCCGTCGCCCCCTGCCATGCCACCAGCAATTGCTCACTGCTCGACCCTACTGAAACGTTTGAGAACGTGATCATGTCATCCCGTCACGCACCGCACCGCATTGCGTAAGACTTTGCTTACGAGTGGCACCTAAAATCGGGCTTCATGCTTGTTTGTGTGCATTGCTTCTCCATCTGTCACAAGCTCTCAGATTCCAGCGAGCTCTCGATTTTTTCCTTGCGTCTTCCGATAGTGCGCGTTTGAACTTAGTGTGTAGTTCGAACTCAGGGATGGAATAGCGTCGGCTGATGTCGTGTAGCCCTCTAGTAGTCCGTTTTCCGAACGCGTCATTCCCATTCACGTTCCCTCGTCTAACCAGTGTTTCCTCTTTCGCTTCCACGACTCTGTTCTGTCAATAGTCCGCGCACACAGGCTAACAGGTTACAATCAACAGTTAATAGCCGCCTGTTGACGGCTAATAGTCAGCCGTTAACGGTAACTGGTTCAGCAGCGAGCAGCCGCCGCAAATGTACCGGCGACCTCGCCTTCCGCTGGATCAAGTTGCGATGGCGATGCTGTGAGTTTTTCCTTTTATTACATAGTGAAGGGCCGCCTATATCTATAGAGTAATGTAGAATTCATGCTGGTCCATTCCACGTAGCAGGAGCCACCTCCGTTCAGTCATGTGGTCTACTATGCGTTCCCCCTCTCCATCTTCCTATTCCCCATCCTTTCTCCCCGCGTGCGCATTCCAGTGCTGGTTCCGTGCTGACAGTATGCGAATAGATCTGTGAGTCGTCTGAAAAAATGGCACTGGGGCGTAGCAGCCAGTAGCTTTCCTGTCAACCTTTCTCAGCTTCCGTTTCAACCACCTTTTTAATCATTCACTGGCCTGTCTGTTGCGTCTCGACCTACTTCCCCTCCCTAGTTTTTTCCCTCCCCCCCCCCCCTTTCATCTCTCCCCTCTGTCCCTTCGCCGTGCACTTTCCCCTTATCCTGTTCAAAATCCCAGTACCCACTCCCCCCTTCTTCCTCACCCATTCCCACCTCCGCTCGACAGAGTGTGCATGACTTCAGCTACTTTCATTCCACCCCTAGCACCCACTCAACACGCTCAGAAGATCTCAATCTATCATCCACCTCTTCCTTTTGCTGTTCTGGGTGGGCGTGGCATAGGGCCAGTTCCTCTTCAAGCAGCCACTGGATAGCTGGCACCCAGCTCAGTTCAGCATCCCCCGTCTCCCTTCTTTTCTGCAGGGTGGGCGTGGCATCGGGCTACTTCCTCTTCAAGAAACCACTGGCTAGCTGGTGGTAGCCAGCTCAATCTACCATTCACCTCTCCCTTGTTTCTGCAGTGTGGGCGTGGCATCGGGCTACTTCCTCTTCAAGCAGCCGCTAGACGAGTACTGGCGACCTCAAGAAAAGCGAGGAGAGGAGGGTTCATCTGGCGCAGGGGAGAAGAAGCGACTAGATGCTGACGTGGCAGAGAATTGACTAAAATGCTTGTAGAGTGTAAATCTAGAGCCGCTTGTGCTGCTGATGGCCTCACATGTGTTGTTAGTCTCACATGTTTTTCTTCTTCGCTTATGGGTTTGATGTGCTTCTGAGCTGTTCCGAATGGTTGTACAGATGTTCTAGGCAGTGCCTAGGTGGAAGTGAAAGATGAAGAGGACCATCTTTTAAAAGATAAGATTCTATTACACTAAACACTCCACGTCATGTCCTGGTTGCACCGTATTGTACCGTAAGAAAATCTGGTACCCAATCGCTTCACCCCAGTTGGTTCGCACCCAATACACCCGCGCAGCGCAATCGCTGCTGAATTCAGTTGGTTTGACCCATCCACACCGAATTGCAACACTGCTTCATCCCTCGTACCACCATACTTTTCCTTTCTGTTGCTCCCGCGCACACCCCGCAGTTTCTCGCACGATCGCCGAGTGCTGCAATTATTGGGTGTGAGACTGATGACGCGAAATGTGCAGCGGAGCTGCGCACTTGGCTAATATCCAAGGCGCCGCGTTCAACGCACCTCAAATCCAGAAGCAATGACGCCGCGAAAAAAGAATCTATCATCATCTCGAATGCGACTATAAATGAGGGGGATTCTAGTCCTTAGAACCCACCCTGGGATTTTCCGCTTTTTTTATTTCCACTGGAGCCAAACGACTCGCCGCTCTCTTCTAAACCAAGTTTCATAAATCCGCCAACCATGGCCTTCACGGTTCGCCACGTCTTACTCATAGGTAAGCATTAACCCCACCATTTTTTTCGAGACTCGTTGCTTTTCCAGCTGGCTGCTGCCAAGCATGGTAACCATCCCGTCTGACTTTCACTTCCCTTGTCGCGTGTGTTCGTCGTGCAGCGATCCTCGCGACGCTGGTGGCGGTGGCCGTCTCCTACCGAAATAGTAACTCTGATACGCGTCAGTGGCCGGATTTCGAGCTCTCTCCTTTTTTTTTTCTTTCTTTTTAATTTCATTTCATTTTATTTTTCATTCTTTCTTTTTTCTCTCGTTCCCCCCTCGCTCTCTGCTCTTGCCCAGTCGGCTAACAACCGTGTGACAATGCCTCTCCCACTGTTTCACTTTCAATGTTGCAACAAAGTCCCTACTGAAACTTTTCCTATCTGACCGTGACGTTGCACCCTTCCCTTGCACTCACCACAGCAAGCGACATCGAGGCTACGGTTGACTACCTCGTCAAAGTTGTTCGCACGGGCGGAAAAGGCACTATCATTCGCCGTCGCAGCCCCCCAAAAGATTCCGCTCGCTCCTCAAGAAGACCCGTTCCCCGCGGGCCCCCAAGAAACGATTTCGTTCCTGAGGAGGTACTGAAGGCCAACGAGGTTCCTGAGGACTCGGTACAGAACGGGAGTTAGGGGGTTCTCAACAGGTCAGAAAATTAAATGACCGAAGAGCCTAGGGATGATGTTAGCGGGGGAGGGGGAAGAGGGAAGTGGGTGGTGGGCACTGGGCATACAACAAGTTTGTTGAAACGGGGTCAGCTTTGATTTGTTCTTGTGTATATTAGTTTGCTTTGCTTGTTTTGGTTCCTGCTGCTTCGAGTTGCATATTGGAGTGCTCTCTTTCTCCTAAGCTGGTAACATGCAGCCCACACTTCACACAGCCTTACATAGATGATAGGTAACTCCTTATTCCTCTATATATCCTTCCCTTCCCACACCCTCTCCTTCGTGGAAAAGTGTTTCATTCCGTTTCTTAGTTGACCGGAAATTCAGCATTGTATGAGAGTGGAGCCCAACAGCTTTCCCGTTCAATCACCCAGCAGCTTTTTCTTCAACCACCCACCAGCTTCCCTTATAAGTACCCACCAGAGCTTCCCTTTCAAGCACCCACCAGAGCTTCTCTTTCAAGCACCCACCAGAGCTTCTCTTTCAAGCACCCATCAGCTTCTCCTTCAATCAGTCACTGTCTTGTTGGTTGCACCTTTCCCCCTCCTCCCCCTCTTACTTCCTCTCCCCCCATCCCTTTCCCCACCCTTCCCCTTCTCGCTTCCCCCTCGGTTCCCCCCTGTCCCTGCCTGCTGTTCTTTCCCGTGTTCTTTCCCAATATCCTGGTATCCCACTCTCCTGTTCCCATTCCCTGCCCAACAGAGTGTGCGTGGCATCGGGCCATTCCTATCCCAGCATCCGCTCAACACACTGAGAACATCTCAAGCTGCTATCTCGTTCTCCCATGTACCATGCGTGGTGGGCGTGGCATGGGACTCTTTGCTCTTTAAGCGCGCACCTTCGTGTCCCCCAACCCCCCCACCACCCCCCCTCACCGTCCCTCTCCCCCTATCGCCTTCCCCTTCTCCCTTGTACTTTGCAGGGTGGGCGTGGCTTCGGACTACTTCCTGTTCCAACATGCACTAACCACATCGTGCCATCACACTGAGCGCGTCTCAATCAACATACTTTACCATCCCCTTCACGCTTTTGCTCTGCAGTGTGGGCGCGGCATCAGGTTACTTCCTCTTCAAGCAACGACTGGATGAGTACTGGCGGCCCAAAGACAGGCGGGTAGAAGAGGTTTCGGTTGGTGGAGGGGACAAGCAGGGAGGAGATGCTGATCTGGCAGAGAGTTGACGGAAGTGGTCGTAGCGTATAAAAGCTATAGTTGTGTGTGCTTCTTGTGGCCTCACGATTTTTGTTAGGTACGGTCTGAGATGCCTGTAAGTACTAGGCTCCTGTGAGCACGTCTGGTGAATTTTAGGTTGTGTTGTATGGATTTTGCTATAATAATGCCTGTTCCTGCATTTGTAGGTTTGATGTGGTGCTGGGTTGCTTGCTATAGGTAAGGTATGATAGTAAGAGATGAAATTACCGTACCAAGGTGGAAAGTGAATGATGGAGCCCTCAACAGCGCGTTTTTGGTGGTAGACAGGAAAGAAGTATAAGTACGGTGGACAACTATTCATTTCCGTATTGCAACATATTGCAAAGAAAACATACCTGAAGGTTTCATGTTGTTATCACGAACCACTCTATATCGAACTAGCTTGTTGATCTAGCATACCACACCATGCGCAGCCCAGCGCTTTCGCCGCTGGGACTTGTTGATTCAACCAACCCACATCGAAGTGCAACGCTGGAAACTTCCCTTCAACCTCGGAGCAGAGAGGAAATTTATTATTCACTCCCGTCTACCGCCATGGATAGCGATATAATTTTGGCTCACGCACACAAGTACACCCTGCACCTTTCCCAGTCGCCGAGTTTCGCGATGAAGTTTTTCGACGTGCTGATAGTGACGGGCAAAACCAGACTCTCCTGTGCGCGACACAGAATCTGACTTCGCAGTTACCCTGTTGAAGAGAATCCACGTGCACTTCGCGATTATTTGGGGCGCGCACCACACACCTCGCACAAGAGACCCACTGGATCAAGAGAATGCCCCGCAGCTATTCAGGGATGCGATTATTGAGATTGTGGGACTCCGTGACACGCGGAACTGAACTTTGCTTGTGCACGAGTCACAGACTTTGACGCGATGCCCATTCCAGTCAGGTGTATTTCGAGCGCTTCGCGCGCGTGCTTCGCGATTATGCGAGGCGCGCAAGACGCACCCCCAGTCTCGATGCCTTGTCAGCGCGTCGCTCACGCATTCCGGATTGCCGAGGTAGCTATAAGTAGAGTTGTTCGCGTCCCTGAAAATCCATCCAGCCGGAATCCGCCTTCCTCTTTTCTATAGCTGCCAAGTACTACCTTCTACACCTTTGCCTTCCACTCTAAGCTTGCACCAGCTTCCACTCGCTTTCGAATCATGGCTTTCACTCAGGCTCGCCGCGCCCTTATATTAGGTAAGCGATACCTACCGTAAGCGTCCCCACAGCTACTGGCGGTGTTCATCCTTCAAACTCATTGCTTGCAACCTACCTTCTGCTGCTATAGCAATGATCTTGTGCGGATGGACATGGTTTATGCCGCAGGGTGGTAACATAATCATTTGATTTCGCCGCATGTGTTTGCGTGCAGCAGCTTTTTTCGCGGCAATGGTGGCGGTGGCTTTTGCAGACTACGACGATAACAGAGGCAACAGTTTCAAACCTGGTCCGTGCCTCACATCTTCCCTGCCAAATCACTTTCCTCCACTTCCTCAACTGTTAATCTCCGAGTGAAAGAATATTTCCGATATTCCACTTTCCCGCCTTCATATTCACTCCCTCCTTTCTTTGACCACTACCTCTCCCCCTTCCTCCTCCTCCCTCCCTTCTTTCAAACCCTTGGTCTTTCCTCAACAGAACGCTTCAACTCCAAGCTAGTTGGGGCCAACGAGATTCCCAAGAATGACTCTGAAGCTGCCAGGAATGCTGTCGGCGACAAAACCGGCGTGGTGAAAATGAATCTCGGCATCCATAAGTGAGTCCTGCCGGCTTCCGTAGCAGTGTTGCATCAATGGCACGTGAGAAGCATTCCTTTCCTCGAAAGTTCACAATTCCAATCGACATACTGAAAACACATGCTTACAAATTTACCGTCCCTCATTTTTATTCCACCCGACAACCCCGTGAACAGGAGGGACGGGAAGCCCATTTGGATGGCGTACTCAGTGAAAGCTTGGAACTTGGAAGGCGAGATGCCGCCAACCAAGACGCACATACACCCAGGGAGCAAGGGAGAGGTCAACCCTGTGCTGCTGGACCTGCCATGCACGTACCAGCAGAAGAGCCGCAAGATGTGGCTCTGCGAGGGATCTGTGGGGGAGCCCGAGAACGAGCGCACGCGTGATCTGCTGTCGGCGCTTGAGAAGATCACGAAGCATCCGCATAAGTTCTATGGGAATATTCACACGAAGAAGTATCCTGATGGTGCTGTGCGCGGTCAGTTCTCGAGGGGCTAGAAGATCAGCGTGCTCCGACCCGGACCTTGATTTCAACCTGGGGGACCGTGCAGCAGGAGGAATGAAACAGAAATAAGGAAAAAAATACCTAGTTTGGGTGAGGATAGTACTCCTCCAAATCCTCATGAGGTAGCGGGGAAGATAGGCGAGCTCAATTGAAATGGTTTTGATGCTCCAGAATTAGTCCAGGGAAGCTTTTTGCGTTGCGTGACGATATACAGTTCCATGAATAACTGGGGTCAAAATGCTTCCAAATAGTCTCGCTTATAAGATTGCCTGGTGCTGGTATGCTAAAAAGCGTACTTGTACGCTCATGGTCATTGTTGTTAGAATCTAGCAGCAGGAATGATGTGAACTAACAGGATGCAGGAGTACTGGTCATTGTTGTTAGAATCTAGCAGCAGGAATGATGTGAACTAACAGGATGCAGGAGTACAAGTAGTAAACCCTAATTGGGTTGTACCCCATATGGGCTACCCCACTACAGCCTAGACAATATGCAACACATATAGTTTGACACACCCCCATAGGCAAAGTGGGGGAGAACAAGGGGTCAAACGACCAGTCAAGAGAAGCAAAACAAGCTCAGGGTGGATCACAACGTCACCACGCATTCCGAGCACAAGCAAAGGGCCACAGGGCCAGTTCACATGCAGAGATATATATGCAGCAATAACAGTACAGTGATGGCAACCTAGCAAGAACCAGCATGCAGACGCAGACGCAGACGCAGCTACCTGAGGGGACTCAGTGGTCAGTGTGTACAGACTCGAGCCAGGTGCACGGGTGAACGTGGCCAAGTGCCGGCCCGTCCTAGCACACGTACAGTGAGTCACTCGCTGACTCGCAGGAGTGAACTGGTGAACCCCCCCATCCTGGAGGTCAGCTCCACTCACCAAGTTCGTAGAGAACGAGGGGAGGTAAAGACCTGACAGCGAGCCGGACGGGACGGCCGGACACGGCAGAACCGTGGAATAGTGGGCAAGGACTGGACCCCCAGAGGGGTCCGCCAGGGAGACCGGGACTGGCCGACGGAGCGGCGTGAGTGCGGTGCAGTCGCGAAAGAAGGAGCGGGAAGCTCCTGAGTCAAGGGTGAAGGTGTGTGAGACCGCAGTGGGCGCAGTACCAGAGAGAGCAGACACGGCAGCACCTGAAGCCACGGCCTCACCCGTACCTAGAGCAGTAGACGTACTAGCACCGAGAGCAGCAGCCTCACCAGCACCTAGAGCAGGAGACGCACTAGCACCTAGAGCAGCAGCCTCACCAGGGTCAGGCGGTACGCACAGGCAACAGGCACGGTCAGCACTAGTAGACAATGCATACATGGCAGTGAGAATAGCATCATAGTCAGGCGCAAAGATATCTACCCTCTGTCTATGCAGCTCCAGCCAGGTGGGGAGCTCAGCCTCGTCGCCAAACACTGTGCGCCAGTCGTCGCTCAGACGGGCGAAGCAGCGGGACTGTGTGTGACCAAGCGTCCCACAAGGCTGACCAGTCCTAGCACCTGTGCGAATGACGTACGGGCAGCGAACTGTACGTGTAGACCTGCTACACTGAGCGTACCACTCATGGAGCTGCCGAGGCGTAAGTGTCTCGCGTGGACGCCCCTGCAGCTGCAGCTGGCCACTGCTAGACGCTCCCAACTGACCAGCCCCAGGGCGACAGCTACTACGGCTACCGCGACAACCCCAGCTAGTATACCACTCACTAAGCTGCTGGGGCGTGAGAGGCTCGCGTGAACGTCGCTGGAGCTGCATCTGACCAGGCGTGGCAGGCAGGCAGGCAAGCAGGCAGGCAGGCAGGCAGGCAGGCAGGCAGGCAGGCAGGCAAGCAGACAGGCAGGCAGACAGACAGGCAGGCCGGCAGGCAGGCAGGCAGGCCGGCAGGCAGGCAGGCAGGCGCGCAGGCAGGCAGGCAGGCAGGCCGGCAGGCAGACAGGCAGGCAGGCAGGCAGGCCGTCAGGCAGGCAGGCAGTCGCTCACCAAAGGCTGGGAGAGCAGGCGCTCACCGGGCGAGCAGGGCCGGCGCTCGACAGCGGCGACGTCGGGGCCGCAACACCGGCTGCAGAGCAGGGCCGAAGCAGCTGCAGGGCGGGGCCGCTTCAGCGGCAGTAGCAGGTCGGGGCCGTGGCAGCTGCAGGGCGGGGCCGCATCAGCGGCAGGTCGGGGCCGTGGCAGCTGCAGGGCGGGGCCGCGTCAGCGGCAGGTCGGGGCCGTGGCAGCTGCAGGGAGGGGCCGCATCAGCGGCAGGTAGAGGCCGAGGCAGAGGGCCGCGCGCGGCTCGGCGCGGGCTGCGCGGACAGCGCGCGGAGCTGCTGCAGGCCGCGCGCGGCCGCACTAGGTAGTAGCGGGCCGCGCGCGGCTCGGCGCGGGCTGTTGCGGGCCGCGCGCGGGCCGTGCGAGGCAGTAGCAGGCCGCGCGCGGCTCGGCGCGGGCTGCTGCGGGCCGCGCGCGGGCCTCGCGAGGCCGTAGCAGGCCGCGCGCGGCTCGACGCGGGCTGCGTGGGCTCGGCGCGGGCTGCGCGCGGCAGCTGCGAGCTGCGCGCGGCTCGGTGCGGGCTGCGCGCGGCTGCAGCGGGCTGTGCGCGGCTCGGTGCAGGATGCGCGCGGCTGCAGTGGCTGCACCGAGATCGCGCAGCCCGCCCCGAGTCGCGCGCAGCGGGCTGCGCGGTCTCGGTGCGGGCAGCGCGCGGTAGAAGTGTGTGTGCGGGCCTGACAGGCGTGTAGAGGCGGCGCGCGGGCCTTACGGGCCTCTAGGGGCAGCGCACCGGCCTAGGGCAGCACGTCACAAGGCAAGGCAAGGCAGGCAGGCACGTGGGGTAGCGCGGTAACCGCAGCGGTAGGTGGGCCCGAAAAAAAAACGGTCCTACGGACCTTAGTGCTCTGATACCATGTTAGAATCTAGCAGCAGGAATGATGTGAACTAACAGGATGCAGGAGTACAAGTAGTAAACCCTAATTGGGTTGTACCCCATATGGGCTACCCCACTACAGCCTAGACAATATGCAGCACATATAGTTTGACAATTGTAAGGAAAAACCCCTTTTCCTTACTGGGGTTTACTCAACCGCGTACAACCCCAACTTTCGGAAGTGCACGTTCGGCCGCTTTGCTTGCTGCCGAAGCAACCTCGCGTCGCCTTCGGCTTTCCTTTGCCCAACCTGCACTCAACCTCGTGTTCCCGAGGTTCCCGCCTAGTTAGGTTGCCTCGCTATATAATCGCATGTCTTTCATTGTATCGTCAGTTTCATTGAGTCACAGCCTCGTTATTCGTTATTCCGCGCAACTCTGTTTGACAACTCATAACACTTGGTATCAGAGCTACTTTCCTAGTTCACCCCGCTTTTCCAGGGTAGTTTAGAGGCACGGGTGTGACTGGTACGGTGGGCTGCAAAGCGGTTGGTTGCAAAGTTTATTAAATTAAACTTGCCCGACTCCGATAGCTTTTGCGCTTGCACTGTTGCCGGATAGTCACGGAGACCCACTTGCCTGTTAGACGTAGCTTGCGACTCATGGACCAGGAGGCGTTCAACAAACTTATGCAGCAAGTGGCAGAAATGTCGGAAGGCATGAAGGCGTTAACGACGGAAGTGGAGAGACTACGTGAAGAAAACAACGAGCTACGCCAGGCGCGAGGTGAAGCGCGTCAGGAGTCGCCCGTCGAAGATGGCGAAACCACCAGTTAAGTGGGGAGCGACCCTAATGCAACTGGCGAGCTCCCACGAGGTACCGAAGAAGGCGATAGGCGGACAGCGCCGGCAACAGCAATTGCAGTTACGACAATCAAGATCAAGCCCGCGAGCCCGCCCCCGTTCAACCCTACGGACAAGGGTACTACAGTCAAGGGGTGGCTGTTCGGCGTGGAGGTCTTCTTCACTGCTGCAAACGTTGACGACGACGCCGCGCGTATTAATTATGCTGTATCGCTTCTGCGAGGCCCGGCACTGGAGTGGTGGCGACGTACCTTGGACACGGGGACCCCGACAGGTGTGACACATGCGGCAGACGGGACTTCGGACTCTGCTATTGGGAGGGCATCATCAATATTCGGTGTGGCCACAATTCGCACGTGGAAACAGTGGGGCGCAGCCTTACGAGAGCGTTTCGAGCATGTATCCGCCTCGGAACACGCTCGCATGAAGCTGCGTACCTGGTCACAGTTGGCTTCTGTTCAAGACTACACGGCGTCGTTTATGGCGCTCGCGGACCAAGTGGACGACATGGCGGAGGCGGAGCGGTTGGATAAATACATCAGCGGCCTCAAGTACGAGATACAGTTCGAGGTGCGCCGAAACCGCCCGACAACATTCAACGAAGCCGTCCGATTGGCCGAGAGCACAGACGCGCTGATGCAGTGGGCGAGATCGAGTTCTCGGGAGGGAAACCGATTTCGTGGACAGACCCAGCGGGCCACGATTAACGGAGTCCATGCGCCAGACCGCCCTTTTACAGGGTTGTGTTTTAAGTGCGGGAAGCCGGGCCACATGTATAAAGACTGCCCCGACAGGACGCAGGGAAAGAGGAGCGACGGGAAGGAGCAGGGAAATGGGAAGAGTCAGTAACAGACGGGCCCCTTACTGACTGTGCTCTGTCGCCCGAACCCCACCATCCCCACCGAGTCGTGGTTCCGATTCATGCAATCGATCGCACTCGGACGAATAACGGGGGTGAACATGTGGATCACCCTGTGCTGGTTGTTGGCACGGTTGTTAAGAAAAAAATAAAAATGTTCGTCGATGGCGGGGCTAGCCATAGCCTCTTCAATCTGGCGACAGCAAAAAAATGCAAGTTGCAGCTGGACAGGTGTCTGCCCGAAATTGACGCTCGCCTCGTGGATGGGACGCCTCTGGCGATTTTGGAGGAAACACGGACGGTGCGGATTGAGTGCGGCGACGATTTCGGCTTCAGCATGAAGTTTCTCGCGACGACGTTGGACGGATGTGACGTACTCCTGGGACGCGATTGGCTGCGACGGCACAACCCGATAATCGATTGGACGAC